GTTGCTTTTGTTGCTGTTGCTGTTGTTGTTGCTGTTGCTGTTGCTGATGTGATTGTTGAATTTGTGGGTGTAATTGTTGTTGTTGGGTTGATAAACTCTGTTGATTAGAAACGCCCGGTTGCACCGAGGGTTTTTGGGCCGCGGATTTCGTTATTCGAGGCGAGGATTTTATGACATTAGGACTGGATGCTGCCTGACTGATGCTTGATCTATGATGCACTTGCTGCTGTTGCTGTTGTTGAAGATGCGGGGATGCGGTGTAACTTTGATAAGGACTTCGGGCCTGTTGATGGGTTTGACTTTGTTGCAACTGTTGCTGGATTTGTTTTTGCTGAGATTGTTGGGAGGTGGTGGTCGATTGTTGGGGGGAGTAACCAACTCCCACATTTGATGAGATATAAGAAGTGCCATCGTGTGAATTATATCGTTGCTGAGCATTTTGCGGAGCAACAGCGTGTTGCTGTTGTTGCTGCTGTTGCTGTTGTTGGGAGGCATAGGATTGTTGTTGTTGCTGCTGCTGCTGCTGTTGTTGTTGTTGTTGTTGTTGTTGTTGATTGTTACTTTGACTACTCATCATATAACCACCATAAACCGCACTCCTCGAATGAGCCATGCCGGAAATGGTGCTGGTGCCATACATACTGTTTGTGTCCGACGATGTACGTTTGTTGATGATCGGATTATTCACCGAGGCGACCGACGAATGACCGACGACGGTCGAGTCGGTGATGCTGCTGATTGAGGTGCTTGGCGATGAGACCGGAGTGCTATTGTAACGTCGCGATTGCTGTTGACGTTGAATTTGATGATGTTGGGTTTGAGCCTGGGGTTGTGCTTGAGCCTGGTGTTGTTGTGACTGAGAATAACGGCTATTGATATTATTACTCAGGTATGTTTGCTGACCATTTGGTGAAATCGAGGTTTGTGCGGAGGGAGTGTTGGATGCCAGAGAAGACGAGGACACCATCGAATTTTCCATTAACGTTTCTGTGTCTAGATCACCCGACTAAACAAACGACATGCAAATAGCGGTCAGTCACAAGGAGAATAACGAGGGTAAACACCCGATTGAAACAATAATGAGGTAAAAAAAATATGAAAATATATGCGCATACGGTATCAACGTCCACACCGAATGAACCGAGGTTACTTCCATCGTTCACAATTGCCTGTCTCTGGAAACCAACATTACTCAGGGACCCCATGCTGGTAATTGACGCCATGTTACTCATGCCACCCAAACTGCTCATACTGTTGCTCGTATCCATCGAGTACAATTGCGGTTGCTGCTGACGGAGCAACGAAGACGCAACCGACGACGAGTTTGTGGGTGTGGGGAGAGCAAGCATACTACTGTTATGAGTGGCCGCATGTTGCGGCGTTTGAGCGGCGGGTGTAGGGGAAGTGTGGAAGGCAGCCAATGAGGTTATTGAAGGTGCGCCTAATTATCATCATTATATATATTATTATTTTGAAACTACATGAAGAGAAGAATGATCAATGAACCAGAACGTGATAACCTGACAATTTATCAGAATCATCGACGCAAATGGCCCAAAGATTGACAAGAACGAAGATGAACGTACCAATTGGGGATTGATGACTCGAATAAGCGTGGGCATCACCGCCCAATCGATTGGCAATCGTCTGTACCGGAGCTTGCATCCTACGAGATGTGGCTTGTGGTTGTTGCTGTTGTTGGGCGGACGTCCCAAACAAACTGGAATTCGTGCTCTGGGCAAAGTTACCGGTATTACTTCCGGTTGCACCACCACTCCCATAGATACTACTTGATAGCATACTATGATTAGCCTGAGAATTTGTACCACCGGGTGCACCCATATCTGTACTCCAACCCTTATGCCATGATTGAATGTGCGTTGGTTGTGACTGCTGCTGTGGCTGATGGGAGCTGACATAGCTGCTACGTAATTCATTGCTCATTCGAGAATTGTTATAACTTGACATTGGATTAAATGCATTGAACTGTGATGAGGTTCCATGCGCAGATAAACCCGAGTGCTGAAGGGCTTGCTGTGCTTGTTGAGGAAAATTTTGATTGTAAGGGTAGCCGCTCCTCTGTGAAGTTGGAGTCGTTTGATTGGGCTGGTTATACTGTCGGTTATACATTTCTTCGTTGATACACGTTTCAATATATCTTTGTGAAGCAGATCGTGAGAGGAAGACCGGTCGTCGAGGTTAGATCGTGGCGGTTTTCTTTTCAAACAAAAATTCTATAACCCAAGAGTAGATATGTTATCCTGTAGTTGGCAAAAATAACCGCGTCACACAGGTCTTCGCTTTCGGGATGAAAAAGAATTTTTTTTTATTCGTAGCGTCGTTTCGTAATGGAATAAACTCGCGCGCACTTTTTTTCGTCTCGCCTGATACTACAACAACCTATTGTATATATTGTTTACAAAATTTGACGTGTACGTGTCAAGGTTCGGAACTCGTTAGAATATAATAAAAATATATATATATATATATTTTTTTTTTTTTTTTGCTTCGTTTTGGAGTAAGGTAATAAAAAACTTGTATTGTTACAGTTGGTGGGGTTCTTTATCAGATATTAAGTATAAAAAAAAAAAAAAAAAAAAAAAAAAGTGAACCGCACCGTAATCGTGGTAGTGGATGGTGGGCGGTGGTGGTAGATAGTAGTGGGTTATAAAGTATTTTTATATATATATATGTGTATGTATATATATATATATATATATATATATGTATATATATTGTAGTATTAGTTGGAAAGTTTAGTTAGTATGAAAGGGTATTGAACAATATAAAAAAATATAAAGTTTATTGATACCTACACACACAGTAGGATAGAGTGGAAGAGTGGAGTGGAAAAAAGTTGTTTGTATATCGCACCAAAAAATAGATTTTTTCGCAATAATAACTGATTTTATAAAAAAAAAAAAAAAAAAAAAAAGAGACGAAGAAAAAATAATCAGTATAATAATAGGATTTTAATATTGCTGATAGACAGTGAGTGAACTGGAGGTAGGTGAGTATTGAATGAACCTACTGACTCAATAAAAAAAAAAAAGATCGTATTAAAAATTTTTTTGCTTTTGAAAAAAAAAAAAAAAAATACCGAATACTAACCGGACTAAATAAAAAAGACGATGCACAGTATAAGATATTTGTTTAAAAAAGTGCGTTTGGTGTGTACTCGTACTGTATTTTTTTTTTATTTTTTTATTTTTTTTTGAAAAAATACAAGCAACTACTGTTAGAATTTGAGAAATGAAGGTTATTATATGTGTTTGAGGTGAAAGCAGAAAAAAAAAAGTTGCGCACAATAAAAATAAGGGGTGTGAGTACTACTCATTTAAAGTTACACAAAGGGGCGTTTGTATGGTTTTTGTGTTTGGATTACGCATGCCTGATGATGCGTCGTTTCCCAAAACAATCATAACTTGATCACTTATTGTAAAAAAAAAAAAAAAAAAAAAAGTTTCATAAAATTGATATTCCATATCACACATAAATAATTCCTTGGCCCGAGTTATGCACCAACGCTGGTCAGATGACGTAGACCCGATTGGTATTCCGACCGGAGTTGAGTTTATTTATGGTAGATGCGTATATGGACTTATTTATTTTATTTGGTAGTTATTATTAATCTATTTAACTCGAGTGAATGAGCACGTAGCTTTGTGATTGCCAAGTGTAACTATAAGTAATAATAAACTACTGTTTTGAGAGAATGGCTTTTGTTGAATGAATTGATGATGATTGGGGTGATGCGACATTACACGACAGCATTAATGATAACACGAAGCGGGCGGTGCAACTGAAACATGACCCAATGAAAGGCAAAAAAGAAATTGGGCGGAGAGCACCCTACTTTATTTGTAAATGTCGGATGATAATAAAAGGCATACACGAGCCGTTACATTTGTTCTTTTAGTATCGTAAGTACACTATATTTGGCAAAATTGAAGTCGTTAAATTTGATGTGTAACATTGGAAGAATACTGTGTTACCCGCGGCAAGCGATGTGACTTTGAAGTGCGACCAATTTACTTTATTAAATTTATTTTGTTTATTCAAATAATTCAAATGTATATATATATGTATATTATTCGGTGAGTCCGAAATTTCTCACGTGTGAGTCACAACAAAACGGAGAATTTCTATTGAGCCGGAGGTCCGGCAAAAAGTAACCTAATTTGTTATTATTCGATCATTTTTTGTTGACGTACGTCATCTGATCAATATTCTAGGCGTAAGGTTGGGTTTAAAAAAACTTTCCGAGCATTCTAAGCATTGGCATTTGTTCGAATTAACATAATAACTTTAAATTTCACTTTTTGACCTTTATGGATAAAAAAGAAAAATCATCAAAGCTAACAAATATAATAGGCAACATTAAAAACATTTACACACAATATACTACAAGTAATAAATTAAATTATTTAAATTAGAAATTTAATATCAATATGATATATATATAATAACCTTCATAAAACTATACTTGTACAATACATATTGTATGGGTTTATTGATATCAACATAAATTATTACTATTAATGGGGGTTATCAATATTAGCTTTATATTATATAAAAAGATTTTGAATAAAAATTTATTGGTCATTTATAATTTTACAATGCTAATAATATTAATTAATAGAAAAATCCATAAAAATTAATACAATATAATGGAATTATATAATGTATCTTATATTTAATTAATCTAGTAATACACAATATCATTTAAGTTAATGTTTAATTAAGATGCAACGGTATGTGTAGCGCCCTTAATATTTATGCAAATTTCCTAATTTACCACAACACAATATTCCGCTTTACTCTTTGGCCAAGCGCTCGCTCCAAAAGGTTCCCAACACTCTGGCTCGCAAAATCCTCGGTAATGAAAACTCGAGATTGTAAATGTTAATGAGACCTCCTCGATTCTTTTGACATGGTTGAATGACATACCAAAAAATGACTCATTGATGACCGCGACCAAAAGTGCCATGTTCACGCGAAACGTTGAAAAGCGCGATAAATTGATTGACACGTATTATGCGTTATTTTGTCATCGCATTGTAATAATGCAAATGTTTGCTTGTTTGAAAAATCATCACAAAGAAATATGCTCTTAATTAAACCCCACTCTATGCGATGTGTTTCATTTCGCATTTCGTACGTGCCAACTGAACTGTTTATGTCATACCGAGTGTCATGCCTTATTGGAATTCGTACTATCAAAGAAAAAAATTTTTTGACTTCATAACCATTAAAAGGATATAAGATTCGGAAGCACTGCATAAAATGGCGACACGTTTGTACTCTCGGAACAATTTCGAAACTTCAAATAGCAATAGAAAAAAATAGATCGGAGTATTCGGACAACAATCGATTATCAAATCGACAACATCGAGCCTCTCAAACATCTGACGACATTGAATCCCTTTTCGGGGAGGGTATGGTTTACTTAAACATTGACTTATGTAGAATTTAGCAACGTTCCGTGATCCCCATCACATTGCGACATCAGCGTGAAGAATGAGATGGCTTGTCGGTTTTTCCTAAATAGAAACCGGGTGAAAGGAACACAAAAAAAATGATGTTGATTCAATACCTATGGTCTGGTTTCAATTTTTTCGTCTTCACTCACTTGTTCGTATGAATTCCATCTTTAATAAAGAATTCGAGTGCCCCACGTACGCAGTTAACGAACGTGCACAGATTTCTTTACTATATACATAAATGAATGTCATTCTCATGCCTGTAGCGTGGGTGGTATACCCAACGCGGTCAACAAGATTTGGCGGGCATGACCGGTTGCGTATAGAGTTGAATGATACTGCAGAATAGGCAATTGCGCTCATGTTCCACAGCAAAAATAACAATAGAACATCGAGTATGACCACCATCATATAGAACCGGTTTCAAACGAGTGCGTTAGTGTTGTTTACTATCGGCAATACATGCACGGCGTGCTGTGCTTGTTATTCATCCACCTGTTTGCTGCGTTCGCGGTGGCATCGATATGGTATAGTCGATGCACGATTTCATTCGATATCGCGTTTTTGGCAGTGAATTTGGAACGATCATTCAAGGAGACTCAATCAGCACCATTTAAAATCGGCAGATAATAGTTAAACAAGTATTTCTGACGTATTAGAAAGAGTCGGGATTATTTTTCATCACACAGATTTATCTTTCCCTCCAAAATCCAACACAAAGGTGCGTGCATACGTGTGTGCGCATGAGTAATCATAAATAACTATAAGCATTGTTTCGTATTCACTATAGGCATTATGCTGTATTTCTGATAAATTGGATGATTATTTGCAAGATATAAACTATTTATTGTTTTGCACGAGCCTGTTTCACTTCTTGATTATTATTATTGTTATTATGTGTACGTGTGTATATATACAGTATATATGTATATATCTATATATCTATATATATATATATATATTTATTTTTTTTTTTTGTTTTTTTTTTTTTTTGTTTGTATTAATTAATACCTGACGTATCTATGAGAGGATGGTTTGCAAATTAGGCAACCGGAAACTAGATTACTTCTCAAAATGGCAAGTTTGGCATATGATTTTGCTGGATCGCAGGGGGAGGGACCGAATTCTATCTTATCAAGATGAGATTCGCAATCCGAAAATGGTGCGAAGCGAGACGCGGAAATTGCAAGCGAAGTACGTAATCAACCATAGACAAGCTTTTCCCAAGAATTCAGCGAACTACGAGCGCATGTGTTATATAAGGCTTATATAATTGAGTCAATGACGTGCATACATAATGATCACACGAGCGTACGCAAATCTACAAAAAGAAATTTTATAATAAAATAAAAATTTTTTGAACGTAAAGATGGCAACCTCTTTGTCAATAATATAAATTGTGTCACGACATATATGCAAAGGAAATTATTTGTTACGTCCGGCAAATTCAGTGTAAACTAGTTAAGCCCTACACCTAGGATACTTCTACGCACTCACTATAATTTAACTATGATACTGTATATACTGTATATTAAAAATCTATGCATATGCTTTAAATTATTAAATATGCTATATTTAAAGTAATATTGTTATTGGATATTGTAATTTACTACTTTTAGGTTTTATATTGGATGTATATTAAATTAT